GAGACGGTGGAAAAGCATATCCAGAAGGAGAATGATAGAGCAGTAACCCTGACAGCACTTAATGGGGTTTACGTAGAGCATAGCAATCATTCTCCTTAGAATAAATAAGAAATTTAAAAATACAAAACCAGAAGCAAGTAGCCAATTGGTATTTCTGCCTATGGTTCATGCGAATCTCTGGGTGAGCTTTTACATGACTGTTTAAATTGTACTGTCACTTCTCAGGGATGATTGACAGGAGTTTAAATCCCTACATCTCAGGTGTGAGTATGAAGGGCTATACATGAGGACTTTGCGGGACAGCTTGCTGGAAGAGCTAAGTGCAAGAAAAACCCTCAGGTTAATTCAGCATCTCATTACCAGGTACTGCTGCAGTACTGAAAACTTCAAGCCCTATTGTTGGTTTTGTGATACAACCAAATTCTGGGAGGAATGGGTAAAATCACATTTTACAATCTTGAATTTTGAATCTCCAGTTTCAAAAAATTCTATTATGGCAGAGACTACTGTGATCATTAAACAATGGGAACCATAATATCCCCAAATGCAAAAGCATCCAGAATTCTTTGCTGGAGACCATGTTTTACCTTTATTTAAGAAGGATTTCAAATGTTTCTTCAATGTCTGTAAAAGCTTCAGCCTACTGTAATTCCCAATTAAAGCAAAGAATGTTATAGGGGGAAGCCTACAGATTTATTTTTAAAATTCAAAATAAAGTAAGTCAACAGCAAACATTATAAAAAGAATCACTTTTTGTTTGTTTGTTTCTTTGTTTTGTTTAAATACATGAATCCACATCAATTCCAAAGCAGTGATATGTAGTGGTGAGACAAAGAAAATGTCAGTAAAAAAAAGCCGTGGCTGCCAAATAGGTTGCCTTGATACTGGTTAAGCACTTTGCAAATACACTGGTGGTTATTTTAGTGCTACAGCGAGCCCTACATTGAACATGAGTAAAAAAAAAAAAAAGAATGGCATTTTATCTTAGTTCAATGTCAGTGTCATAACAACTGTTTCTTGATTACTGACTCAGAATCACAGAATCTCAGAGTTGTCAGTGATTACTGAGATCATCTACTCTAACTCATACCTGAACAAAAATAATCTCTTCTGCACCATCCTGTTCCTGTGAGAATATACATTGGAGAGCAAGATCTACAATGGGTAAAGAATTCATAAAGATATGACTTTTTAATCTGTGTTTATTTCTAATAACTACACTATGCCTTTACAATTTGGAGTGGTTCCCCCCGGTCTCCTTTTGAATACAAAGAGAAAAAAAACTAAATTACAAATACTTTAATAACTCCAAAGTGAAAAGAATCTTTTCAAAAGAATTTCAATGATCCTAGAAAAAAATTCCTATCGATTTGGGAAATTATTCATAAATAATGAATAGGAAAACATTATTTTAATTTGCAATAGCTGGTTGAAGTATGCCAAATCAGATGAATTCTCACTTCTGCTTGCAAGTAACAAATTAAATGCATTTGTTAATTTTCAGTAGACACAGGCAAGCTAAATCAAATAAGGAAAATCAAGTATTAAGGCTTTAAAAACTGTCAGAAAATAAATAAAGTTAAGTATGTCTTACTGAGGAACAATTCCTTTCATCTAATTAAGGAAAACTCCAGGAAATGTCAAAGAGTTGTATTACTGATTTACATTTCTGGTAAAACTTTTTTCTCTTAAAACTACATTTTGGAGAAAAACAACAGACTTTATATCATTACAAATCTCAAATCTCTAAAGCTGCCTGACTTTTACTAGAGAAATGTGGAACAAGAATGAATTACTAGCTATTGTGTGGGCCTGTCCTTTAATGTCTCTGAACCTCTGTTTCCTCATCTGTAAAATGTGAAAAATAATGATCATAATGAAGAGGACCCTCAATACCACCTAGACTACTTCCCCTCATTTGAAAGATGACAAAAAAGTGAGACCCAGATAGAAGTGACTTCACCAACGTCACAGGGATAATAAACTGATTACAAATGCAGTCTATTTTTTTCCCACTAAATACAATGCCCCTCTACTACTGCAATACCTCTTTACAGTATGGAATTCTTCATATTTACCTTCGTATCACCAGCAACTAGCTGGGCCTGGCACTTCATAGGTACTCAGTAAATGCTTGTTGATGGATTGATTGGTGTGGAGATGACCCTGAGTTTTCTAAGGCTACCCTCATAGAGTGTCAAGGCTGGCACGTCCTACTCAAAGCTAGAGAGGCTTTCAAATCTGGGTCTGATAACTGATCATGTCTATGCTCTGATGCAGGGTGGTTAATTTTTCATCCAAAGCAACTCTAGAATTTCCTCAGAGAGGTTTGCAAGGGGATGCTTAGTCCTTAAGAAGTGATAAATTAATCAAGCTTGACTCCCCACATTGCATGAAAGATCACAGAATTAGAACTGGAGGATACATTAGAGGTCACCTAACCCAATTCCTTCACTGAGAAGGTAATTGACTTGCCCAGGGTTATACACATGGTTAAGTGGCTGAGTTGGCATCTGAGCCCAGGTCCTCTGACTTCAAAGTCAACCCTCTTTACATTCTACTCTTGGCTCTAGTGAAAAAGATACTTTACAAACCTCACTGTGTGTGTGTGTGTGTGTGTGTGTGTGTGTGATACTATATGATGGATCCCTTTCACAGTTCAGTGAAGCTGAACTATGGACCCCTTAGAATATTTTAAAAGCATAAAATATATATTACAAGAGAAACAAATTACACTTAAATATAATGAAAATAATGATGATGATCACCAGTACCACCACAATAACATTAATAATAATGATTATTATAGACTTCAGGTTAAGAACCCATATCTTAAAGAGTGACATAAATGTGAACTTATTTGTATTAGCAACAAAATAATAATAATAATATCAAGCATTAAGATTGCTTAAAATTTTTGGACAGTTTTATTCAGATCTTTCCTATAGTCTTAACTGCAACATGATTTTGGAAATTAAAATGATCTCTGTTAATATCATAGCCCATCTTCTCACTTCATACGTATCAACTGGTTTTAAGAGAGGGTTCATTTTATAAACAGGTTGTCCTAAAAGTCCTAGTGCAGTTTTAAACTTAAAAACTTAAATAGCTTAAAACTATTCTAACACTTTTGGGACACGATGAAGAGGACGTATCAGGAATATCTAACAGCCTACCTCAGTAATAGATACCCTTCTTCAGTATGCTACTATTCCAAGCAGAAATATTTACTCTAGTTCAGGAGTGTCAAACACATTGCCAGTGGCCTAAAACATTCCTGAGTGCAGCTAGAACCAAATTAAAATGTTTTGGGGAAATAATTAACAAAATAAAGCTTAGAGATAAGGTTTTCTAAGTCGATATGTGGCTCAAAGGGATCCCTATGTATGGATTAGTGGCTTCTATTTCTACTTGAGTTTGACACCTCTCCCTAGTTAACACCCATTTCCACAGCCTGGGCCATCCCCAGTTGTTTTGACTTTTGTCTTGCCGCTGGACTTTGATGACTCTGAAGGACAGAGTGAGGCTGATGACTTTGCTCAGCTCTGCCTCACTTAATTCCAATTTACTCAAAAGTCAGGACATTACCCTCATGATGTCATTGGTCCTCTTCAAGAAAGGACAAACAACAACAATTTCAACAGCAAAATCTGATCTCTCTCTCTCTCTCTCTCTCTCTCTCTCTCTCTCTCTCTCTCTCTCACACACACACACACACACACACACACATACACGCACTGGGTTCAAAGTTGCACATCCTACATTTGAATCCCAGCTTCCAAACTTCTGAAATGTTTGAGACACTGAGCAAGTGACCTGGCCTCTATAAACCATATATTTCTCTTCTGAAGAAGGGAATATTTGCACTACTTAGTTCACAAAGTTTTTTTTTTCCTAAGTGAAGTACTTTGTAAACCTTAACATGCCACAGCAATACGCATTATCATGCTATTAAAATTAAACAATTTCTCTTCTAACAACAGTTCAGAGACCAACTGCATCTTTACTTTCTGAGCAAGTACTTTCACTAAAAGATCAATTTAGGACTTTTAGCTTGCACTAAAAAAAGCTAATTGTATCAAGAAATATATTTTATGTGATCTTTTCATGTTTACTAGAATGTTCTAGAGGAAATCAGCACATGAACAAAAATATTTCAGTTTTTCTTAGCATTTCCTTCCATCTACTCCCTATATTTTTGTAGCCATATCCATTTTCACATAAACATCCATCATCAACAAAAATTTGACATCAATACAAATCCATAAAGTACAAGGTTTGTCAGACATTATTACCCTCTATGTATCCTTCCAACTGCCCCTGCACCCCTTTTGCTAAGGAGCAACAGAATATTATGGGATTTAAATATTAATGGGACCCTAGAAATTATACAGTTTAACAATGTCTTCCATGAGAATACCAAAATGGAATCATCTAAATTGGATTTTGGGGGAAAAAAAATCAGAGTATTGGAATGTGCATTATCCCCTGTGTTAATGGACTAAATTGTACATTTCAAGTGCTAGTCTTAATGGAAATTAATAACATGATAAAAATGAACATGAAAATGGCCACAGTACTACCAGGTGATCCCTCTGACCAGAGGTAGTCTGAACGTAGGTGGAAGAACACCAGTAGTACTTTGGGATAAGAACATGAGTACTACTGGAGATCAGATTATACCTGGGTTGGTTAGGGTATCTTGACATTTATGTGATTTCTTCTAAGCTCTCAATATTTCTAATAAAAGCCGAAGCTTTATCTATGTAAAAAGCTATAAACTATAAAGATTCAAGGAAATCTGGTCTGGGTATTTAGTATGGCAGAATAGAGAAGTTACGTTGGGAGAGATCTCTGGCAAGGGGTCAAAAAAATTTGGGATGTATACGTGATAAAACACCATAAAAACATTCTGAGTCAGCAACTGCTATAGATAATATAAGTTGAAACTATTTTGTTTGCTTTTCAAATGGAGGAAAATATAATCAGTTGATACTCACTGAAGCTACATTCACAAAATCATCATCAGAAAGGGTTTCCAACATTTCAGAGACAGAAGTACGAATCAGCCTCAGAGTTAATCCACTGACGCTTCCACTCCTAAACAAACATGTGAACCATTTCATGAATATTATTAAAAACAGATATTAAATCAAATCTATAATTTCAAGATGTTTTTGATATACTCATAATTATTTAACATTTCTAAAAAGTGAATCACTGTAAAGGATATTTAAAGGAAAGAAAAATGTTAACAAGTAAACTAGTTTTTACTTACCTTTTTGTTGTACATAAAAGAAATTAGAACACAAGGATATTTTTAAATTTCCAAATGCTGTTTCCCAAACTATATGTCAAGTAGGGATGCAGGGATTCATTATTACATATACATGTTTTATATATATTGCATATTTATGTATAACACATATGTTGCTGTTAATTCAATCAACTTCTTTGAGAAAGTATAATTACCTTAATTCTGTTTCTTAGAATTATTTTTGACAATTGCAAATTGCTAACAGCTGTCATTTATCTTAATTTACCCCCCTGAAAACACTAGTTTACACTGCCATTTTAATTTAAACCTCAGAATGTATGGTATGAGGAACTCTGAATACAACATGAGCACAATATATAATGTAACTTACTGTCTGATATCAAATAATGGCCTCTTTTCCGACTTGATTCTCCCTGGTTTCTGTGACATTTTATTTTACTGTTTGACCTCCTACCTCTTTGAAAACTCCATCTTTGTTTCCTTCACTGGTTCATTTATCCTGCCCTTTCCTATATCCCCTCACTGCTACTCAAATGCAGTCCTCCCCAAAATATTCCCTTGATGTTCTTTTCTTCTCTCTCAACACCTGAGCCACAGTATGTAGTTCCCATACTACATAGTGGGAGCACCCATACTATGTATTTTTCATGTGTTTTCTTTCTTTGGACAATTGATTTCAATTTCGAGTCCTGTAATTGATTACTCTAAATCTAATACAAATGAATTTCTAAAACCATTCTCTCCAGAGAGAATATATTTCATCAGCATTTAGGTTTACTCTCAAAGAGTGGCCAGTATTGTTTAACAACCTGAACTAGGATTCTGATGGAATGAAAAGAACAATTTAGCCAAAACAACATATCTTTATTTCATTTTCACAAGAGACCTTGAGAATTCACATTCTAGCTATTTTTTTCCCTTATTAATTACTCTCCCTTATCTTTCTTAGCCTGGTTTATAAGCTTTTAGAGGGATAAATTGAACTAGTTTGCTTCAGGGCAAAACTTAAGTTGGGGAGAAATACAAATGTTCACAAAACCAGGTATATGCCATTTGCCTGCATTTATAACATCACACACTATCTCTTCTAATGAGGCAAAATGACCAAGGATAGACTCCTTTTTCTCCAAGGTAAATTAATTTGGAGTTTTTCAACCTCATTTTCTTGATCCTTCAATGTTCTTCTGATAAAGCAAGTTTCTACTGTAAGAGAGATGGTTTTGTACAAAGTCTGACTCTTCTACTTCATAGGATAATGAAGAAAAAAAACAAAGAAATCCTCAACATAAATCATAAACTTCAGTTTCTTTAACTTCCCTGTTGAGAAGGTCACATTAAAAATCCCCTAGATTCTGAATTTTTTCCATTGTTTTATGAAATTCTCAGTATTCAACATTTGTCACTTTTTGCAATAAAATCTAAACAAATGGACTAATGTTAGATTGCAGTTTATGTTATTTTAGGTATTTATGGCATTTAAGTATTTATGGTATTTTAGGGGTCTTTTATGTGTAGTTGAAGCAATGTGGCTCCACATATATCTGTACTAAAATACATTCCCCCTGTTTTCAGAAATAAATACTTACATAACAGTTACTCAAGATACAGAATGAAAATTGAAAATGCAATTATAGCTCATAGAAAGCTCACCTCTGAGTCATAAACCATAATCTTTGATTCAAAAGCAAATTCTTTCAATTCTTATAGGGTTTGTTTTTGCAGAATATATCCCTTCCCTCTATAGCCTTAAAAATCACTCTAAATACTGGGTCTTTTTCAACTTTCAACCCTCTGATACAATAGGAACATTAAAAAATTACATATGAAATTTTAAAATACTCACACATCAACTAGAATAAGCATATCTTTGGGAGATGCAGCTCCTTGGATATACCTGCAAAAGATATATTTAAAAATGAAGGGGGGGAAGTTTTACTGAATATTGACTGAACTAAAAGGTATAATCTTTGATCATTCAACTTTGTACACTCAAGCTGATATAACTAAATTCAATGCAATTTGATTCAATTAAATAAAAAACATTTACTACATGCTTGCTCTGTGCAAGACATTGTACTAATTCCTGGATATTAAAAGGCAAAAAAAAGTCTTTGTCAAGGAAGTTGAACTGTATGAGGAGGGGCAAATAAAAATACAAAATTAAGAATAAAAACTATACATGAAGTAATACAAAGTGGTTTTTAAATTCTCCTTCAACATTTAAAGTAACATTTACAAGTTAACACTTCATAATTCATGCACATCATGTCCATGGCTAAAGTTCTTCACAAAGGTAGGGGCTTTCAGAAACTTTGAAATCAGTGTTACAGAGGCATTTATGCTGCTATTCCTTCAGTAAAGAAGTACCCATTTAATTTGTTTTTATTTTCATGATATTATTTTTGTTCTTTATTTATATGAACGATAAGATTTAATCTTCCAAATCCATTTAAATAGATACAGCATGAAATTCTATTATATATAAACAGTACCCTGAAGATAATGTTTTTAAAGAAGGATTGAAATTTAGGAATACTTTGACGGGACCAAGTAATATCAATTAATATAGTACATTTGCAAATACTTGAAACAGCAGGATGACATGTTACATTTCTAAGTAAAATCATAATTTCTGCTTGTAATTTTTTTTGTATTTAACATGCTTTTGCTCAGGTAGGAAAAATTACAATTAATTATCACAAAGTTGTAAAAAAAATTTCATCAGGAGACAAAATTGACTTGGTCCTTCCCTCTGCATTTATTAAGTATCTACCATATGCTTGTTGAGTTTCATTAAATCAAATGGCATGGGATGATTTTTGGGGTTAATTGAGACCAGTTCTAGCAATTTAGGGGTAAAGGTGACCTGTCTCCTCCCCATATCAAGCCACACCCTTCAATGCCCTCTTCTCTGGTGGAAGATCTCCATGGAAATTCCTATGATCTAAAAAGCATTGATACTAGCACTGAATACAATCATTTAAATTAGCACATCTGGTCATATTAAATGGAAAGGATTAATGATCCTAGTTCTCATGATTAGTTTTACCCCAATATTCTTTAGTGAATGTAATTTATCATGCCTTTAACTAAACTTATCTTAGAAAGCTTCTTAAATGATATATTGAATAATCATGCTGTTTGTCAAAATAATAGGGATAGGGATTGGGTCTGCACCTATGATTTTAGCGGTACTGGGAACTACCATGTGAGAAAACTCCATCTATTAATGCTGGTCAGAACTTTCTCTGTAAATTACAATTTTGGAGACATGCTTAAAGAGTTGAGAATTTGAGAAATTTACCCAAGGTCACAGAACCAATATATGTCAGAGACAAGACTTGAACCCTTGACTTTACAGCCAGTTTTCTATATGCAATGCCATATTGCCTCTATATCAAAGTAATAATGACATGAATGTATATAGCACTTCAAGGTTTCTAAAGCATTTTCTAAACTGTAACTCTTTGAGATACATAAGTATTATTATCTGATTTTACATATAAAGACCTGAGGTTCAGAGAGGTAAAGTTAGAGCAGGTCATATGATTAATAAGTAGGCATCTGAATTCATCTCATCCTGATTCCATGGGACTAGTGTTCTCATGATGCTACATTGCTTCTTATGGTGGGGGCAAAAAAAACCCCTTTTTTTTGACAAAATGGGTAATTTCTTTCTTTCTTTTTGCATGTTATCTTACCATGGCCTTCTGCGTACATCATAGAGATCAATCTTGTTCGGTGTTCGAGTTTTATCAACCCATGGAGAAGCTAAAAAAGGAAACAAGGCATTATTAAACCAACATAACATAGACACTTCAGAGGGAGTCTGTCTGCTGACAGAAATTTTAAAAAAGACTCAAAATCATAAGTCCATGTATCTGCAGCAGAGTTCGCAAAGAAAATAACTTCTACACTTTAAAAGGAAAATCACAAAGCTGTGCCAAAGGAAATCAATGAGAACCAATGCTTTAATATGAAACTGAAATGAGCATCTAGACATGGTTCTTTTTCTTAGTCTTCTCCCAAAGACTGATTTCCCAGATGCCTAAGAATCTTGACATTTTTTAATGATCACATACTGCCACCAGAAATTAAAGAAAACTATTTTATACTACCAGTATCTATGTTTTTTTTATTTTTGTAATGTTTATCCATTCAGAACCATTTTATATTTGTTTTCTTTTAATGAGATCCACCTTTTAATTCAATATTAAATTTTTTTGGAACCAGAAAATAAGAATGTCATTTAGAAATTAAACTATTATTCTCAACAAGTATAGTTCACATGTTAACAACTTTAAAATTTTCAGTGAAAATAAAGAGTGAGAACAAGAAGGATGAGTTATAGAATATATGCATAACTAGTCCTGCAAAATCTGTGACTTAATTAAATCATCTCCACATCATTTGCAAACTAGAGTACCTGAGAGCTGTCACTGACTATTGGGAATTATCTTTCCATCTGGACCCCATGTAAGATACACTGTGGGACAACAGTAGATATCTTTGCAAGCATTCATAGCCCTCTTAAATGCCGTGGCCCAGTCACTGTTCCAGATTAGGTCTTCTTAGCTGCTATTTTAATGCTGCTCTTTTTTCCATAAAGGACATTAAAAACTAGGTATTGCAGCCCAAATGTGCTTTCTCCAAAAAAAATTGTTGTAGAATTGCTGACACATCAGTTTCATTTTCTATTTGTAGTCCTCCTATCCAACTGAACTTTGAATGTTCTTAGGAGTGGATCAGTTACCTTTCACAAGATTTCTGTAAACTTGCCTTCATCTTTACAGGTTTTTTTTTTTGTTGCTGAGTTATGATGTGACATTACTCATAATCCTCCATGACTATCCTTACAAAAATGTTTATTTTAATTGACATTGCTATTAGCAAACACATTTCTTTGGCTGCCAAAATCAAGTGTTTTCTGAGTAAGATATCGTCTTTGATATTTTGAACTCCTTGATTTGCCAACTATTTTACATCAGTTAACCTTTTATAGCTCATGGTTACAATCAAGGCCAATAGTTTTACCTTCTCCAATTTCCTATTTAAAAATTGTTCATTGATTTGAATTTTAATGGTCAACCTCTAATGGATGAAACAATTTCAGATTTAGGTAAATTGATGTTTTCCATTCCTATTCGTTATTAAAGATGATACAACTGACTGGCTGATTTGTTTTATTTTAATATTTCTTTTGAAGTGTTAAAATTGAATAGCCTTAATCTAAAATTTAAATTACAGTAAACACTATATATATTAAGATTTTTGTAGTCCAAGTTCATCATGTTCCTCCTGGCCATGGACAGGGCTATTATACTCCTAGGCAAAGTTGGTTTGCAGCTTTGACAAATGGTTCAATGAAAGAAGAGTTTAAAAATAATGGTTAAGATGAGATTTTTAGATTGTCACCAGTTTCATTCATCCAAGCTATTTCTGTCTAGATTCTTAATCGATGGTCAATTAGAGTTTCAATTTTGAGTTTTAATGCTAAATAAAATCCCTTTGTAAAAGAACTGAATATGTTTTGGAGGTTACACTTTTTAGGATGTCTAAGACTAAAACATTTTATATAGCATAAGACCATAGAAATTTACATAAAGGATTGACTCAGCTTTCACAAAAAAGAAATTAATTAGCTGTCTTTTGGCCACTATTGGGAAAAACCAAATTAGTTCTCCAGTCATTTTTTTTAATCATTCACTGTTCCATAATATTGCCTTTACAGGTTTTAAGTGATCTTTATTTTATGATGAAATGGAAATATAATCATATCACCCATTTACTTAATATGAAACTCCAATGAGGGAGGGATGTTGCTGACTATTACATAAGTGCTGAAATCATAATAGATAATAATGTTTCCCTACTATGCTAGGTTCCAGCCAGTCATTCAGTTACACTAGGAATCAATTTGGCAATGATACAAAAAGCCACTGACCAAAACATGCAATCGGATTTAAAAAAAATTTTATAAAATAACAACAAGGAGTATGCTCATTTTAGATTTCAAATCACTTTTTTAAAAGATGAATTTTGGGTAACTGGAATTCCGGGAGCTATAGGAAAAAGATTAACCCAGTCATAGGACACCATACTTGTGATTGTCATCAGTCAAGTGCTTGTAAGAAACACTTTTGGCTTTTCCCTTTTGTCATAAAAAGACTATGGTTAGTTCAGTAACAGATAAATCTACAGGGTTAGCATTCTCTTTTATACAGCATCTACAAATGAGCAACAGGCACAATATTTTCCTAACTACTCCCACTGTTGGGTTGAACTTAAACATTTGTTTATAGAAGGTAGTCTGCTTGTCAGATAAAGACAGGTGCCATCCTATAAGGCATAGAAATATCAAGACTAACGTTAAATAGCATTGTAGACTTTCTCCCTAGTTAACACAGTTAACAATTTTTAAAAAGCAGATATCATAATTATTTGATGTTTGGGAATTATAAAGAGAATACAGATGCATTGAAGAGGTTTTTCTTTTCTTAGGAGCTGCTCTACATGAAAAGAAAGCTAATTGCATTTCTAATTAATAATATCAAATGCTTGATAACTACATTTTCCTAAAATATTTCGAAAATTTTTGCTATGAGAAGAGAAATATCAAATAAATGTACAGAGACTCTCCTTTTACTAGTTCATATCACATGTACTTTTAATTTACATTTGTTTGGTTCCAGTAATCCATTAGACTGACAATTATCTACTGCAAATTCAAAAGCGGTAGGAAAGGTGACAAATCTCTAGTTGATATCTCTGGTTACATCATACCACTGATGTCCTGCCTTTAACAAGTTTCCACTTCCAAAAAGCTAACCATTTCAAATCTGTTTTCTTATTGATTTGGATATGTAAGTGTACTTTTCTAATTCAATAAGCTGTAGCTTGTTAGAGAATAAAATATAAAATGTGATAGAACTTGCTAACAAAATCACCTCCTTGAGGTGGTGGCTAAGAATGTCATCATAATCATTTTGTGCTATTTACTTATGAGAAAATATTTTATGGATATACTTTTTTTGAGCTAGCAGAAACTCTTTAACATACACAAAATTCCTGATCCCTGGTGCAGTCTCCTAAAACACCTAAGAAAAATCAACTAATAGGGTAGTTGCTATATACAATACACAATATTTCTTTTCTCTTGTAGCTTTCTCATGGCTATCATTGCATTCATTTTCTACATTGTTCTTTTGGCCATGTTTTCTTTATAATACATCATTCAATAAAGTCTCCTCTTTCTTTCTAAAATCTTATATTCGTTCTTCCTCATTGCCCAATAACATTCTTTTCCATTCATACACCACCATTTGTCTGAGCAAGATGATGGTTATGCCAGCTTTCCCAGAAAATCCCAACCAAAATTTTTTAAACATAATTTGTAAAGTTTATTTGTGGGAAACATGAATAAGAGATTTTAAAAAGGACATTTTTCTTATCTGAGACACACTGAATGATAATTCACAACAGAGCAGACGCAGGCAATGATAAAGTATTAAACAGTGTCCAAATTAAGAGACAATAATTCAAACTGTTCAATTATAATTCACATTTCCTTGCACAGTATATAGTTTTTCTTCTTCATGAAGTTTATTGCCTTCAGAGAAAACCATTAAAAAGCCTTACCACATATAACTATAAGTTATATAACTTACAGTAAATGCCTTTTTTTGTGATTTATTCTTGTCAAATAAAGTGTACTTTTCCCAGTAGTTCATATCCTTTGTTTTATTAAGCACTCTACTATAGTATAAATATAAATCGAGCTCTTACTTTTTCATGGATCTACTTTTTTGTTTTTGTTTCCAGTAATGGATAGTTTCACAAATGTCTTTACTGTAATATAATTTGAGCTTTGTAATGTAGAACATGTCTTTTGATTGTATTGCCTGTCAACAATCCACATTCTCTTCAAAATTCAGTGCTACTGTCTTCAACACATGCCATACCTCTTTTGTAGAGCCCTGTAATTGTGTTCATGGACTATAAGGATTATCGATTTAGGCGAGTGTGCACCTTATTTTAAAACTAGTATTTAAAAAAAGCCCAAGTATATTACTTTTGGTGATGACACCAATGAACTGATATGATGACAAAATGAAATAATTCAAAGTTTAAAGGTTCTGTCTTTTTTTTTGCCAACTGATATGAAATAAGTCAAATAATTTCCAGATTTCTTTTGGACAGAAAAAGTCTACGAGTCATCTAAGAGAGGGCAGCTGAAATTCACTATAAAAGCCTCCTTGGCTATCAATGAACTTTATTCTCATCTTAGTTTGTCTTTAATACCCCACTCTAACTCCTTACAGACAAATAATCAGAAGAGCAAACACACACTCATGTATTCCATAATTACCAATTATATGTTGCATCATTTATAAAGCAGTCTTAACTACAAAATGATTTGCTGTGAATCTAGCAGATGGTAGTTAATCCACATAAAACATTTTCTTTGACATAAAAGAGCTACTATCTGTCAGCAGGAGGGGCAGACAAAATAGACAAGTAGACTGCGTAAGTGGAATATTATGGAAGTGAAAGGCAGAAAGTTAAATAGAGATTTAATTATTTATATGGCCAATATGTAACAGAGACTTCAGTAGAAATCAGGGACAGATAAAATCATATGCAGAGACTGTGATTTTTGATATAGTCGTGTTGTTTAATACGTTTTAGAGATAGTCATTTGCTATAACATAAATAGAAAACATTTTCAGAGGTTAACAAATCCTTCTTGATAGCAATGAATGATAATGATA